TCCTTTCTGGCCTTCTTTCCTCTAGCCTTGAAGCTGACTCTTTCGTTTGAATACAGATTTCATCACTTTGTCACCTCAGTAGTAACAGATATAGCAATTAATGGAATGCAAGTTGCAGTGCAGTCTACTTAAGGCTGCAGAAATTGAAACTGGTCCTGCGTACTGAGGGCAGGTCTAACCAGCGATGCAAGTCCTGCACTGCCTGCTTGTTTCCACGTGGAGGAGAAAGTGCTGGATTGAGCAGAGCATCCACATTACTCGTGCACTTACAGAACAGCAGAGCAATGGGAACGCACAGTCTGTCAACAAGCACATCGTGCGTTTGTCTGAACATGTGATGAAACCTCTATTTGTAGACTAACAAAAAAGAAACTAATTTCTCTTGAGGAGGTCTTAGCTGAACTTCCATTTCTGCCAGTATTCACCTATCTGTCAGCAAATATTTTTACTATTGTGTCAAAGGAATATATTGATCCTACCAAAAGTTGGCTGACAGCTGAAGTATGTAATACCCAATTAAGATTGTCGTTATATTTTATGAAGCGGAGTGTCCAGGAGGATGCAGAAATGGAGGGTTTTGCAACGAAAGACATGTCTGTGAATGTCCAGATGGATTTTACGGGCCTCACTGTGAGAAAGGTAATTTTAAAAAAATCTTCTCAACTTTCTTCTTTGCCATAACCGCAACAAAACTGCAGCTACTGCACTGTAGCCTCTCCTAAAAGAATGGCCTATTCTGAAGATTTCATATATTTTGAGTCTACACATGTAAGAGAATTACTATCATCATCCACGGTCTAATGGAAACATTAATTGCTTACAAGAAAGATGTTTTCTCTCTAAGAGATTGCTTTTAACAAAAACTGGCACAATAGTTAAGTGATCCTTAATCACAGGGAATCCATCTGGTAAAAAGATGAAATAAAATTCTTCTGCTAATGAGGACTAGCTGGGAAACAAAGCACAGGACTTTTGTTTTTCAGCATTTGTTTATTTGGAGATAACATCTAATTTGGAGATAAGATCTCGTTTGGAGTCAGGCTTACAACAAAGATGGGAAGATGAAGGAAAGAGTCTTCTTTTCCTTTCCGTTAGTGACTAATAGCCCTAAATGACATTTCCAGGAGTGAGGGACCAAGAAATTGAGTGACTTGGCGAGGAAACTAGCTCTTCTTCCTGTCTCTTCCTTCACCTCCCCCAGTGGCAGACCCTCCCCGAGGTGACTTGAGATGGAGCAAACCATCCCTGTGGGCACCCTATTCCAATGGCATCCTTCACTAAGCTCCCAGACGCTCTGGCTATATCTAAAATATTAAGTACAAAGGATGAGTTCTCTGGCCTGGAGGCCAACTGGGATGGTGCAGTTTGCATTCGTATGTTTAATAAACTCTCTTACCCTCCAAAAAACCACCTTCCAAACTCCCTGCTGGGAGGAGCCCGTGGCTGCTGCTCACCCTGGGGCCATGCCCGCGAGGGTTTGCCGGATGGCCAGGGACAAAGCTGTGCTGGGAATGGCACCAACAAGTTCACAAGATGGATGATCCTGTGCCCCTCCTTGGCCCCATGCCTGGGTGCTGTTTAACTCACTAGTATGGACCCAGCCTCGCTCCATGTACCAATGGTGGGCCACCACAAAAGCATTGCCACCTGATGTGCCTCCCTGGAAGAGCCTTGTGGGGTGGCCACAACTGCAGAGAAGGCTTGGGAGAGCACAGGGGCTCTGGAGAAGGTTCACAGGGAGCATGCAGGACAGTTTGGCCACCAAACCAGGCCATGCGACAGGCTCCCCTAGCCTAAATTAGGTATCCATGCTTATGCTCAGGTATGCAGAGGGAGAAGGGAGGGTTCATTGTAAGCCTGCCTGGGAACCCCACTGAATTGCTGACACCTCTGAGTGCAGTCCTGTCTGAGCTGACACCAAAGAGACAGTCCTGTCTGCAGAGCTGAGGCACCAGCTGCAGCACCGGAGTCCAGTTATAGGCGGGGGGCCCGGGACTTCAAATATCCAGAGGGTGTAGGTGGGCACTCTGCTCTCCCCAGGTTGGAATGAAACTGTACAAGAGGCAATTTCTGCTTACATATGGAACCAGATTTGAACATAATTTAATCTTCACTTTTTTAGCAATGCTGTATACAAATTGCCAGATACAAACCAGAGATGTAATTGATTTAGCCCACTTACAAAGATGCTTTACAAAGGTGACTTGTTACATTCAGCGGAAGGAAAAGTAGCTTAAGGAGTTGCTATCACACCAGTGATGTTTTTTCTGTTCTTCCTGCTCCTCAGCGCTGTGTGCTCCTCGCTGCATGAACGGTGGGCTCTGCATTACACCCGGCCTCTGCATCTGCCCCCCAGGGTTCTACGGCATCAACTGCGACAAAGGTAACTGCTGGCTAAAACCCCCTGGGCTCCGTATGTGGCAGCCTCTCTTTATTCCCCTGTGTTAGTTTCCCTCTAGGAGTGGATTTTGGAAAGTCAGGCAAGTGATGAAGTAAGTAAGTTTTAAAAGTTTTGTGATTCTTCAAATAGATGCTCTAGCACAACCTGGGAGCTGTTGGAACTGCTTTTGCAGCTGAATGTGCAGGCATCCATATACGCCAGCTCTGTAAAGGGTAATTTAGATAATCGCTTTAGCTGATCCACTGAAAGCTGTGGGACCTACCACAAAAGTCACTTATATTTCTGGCCTAGGGAAAAAAGTGATCTCTATTATTTGAACTTTAGTTTCCTGGAGTAAAATTAGTTTTACTAATTATTTAGTACATTAATTTGCTGCATCTGGACACATGAAAAAATAAGCAGGCTATTCATTTTTTGCCTGCTGCTGCATTGTGTCTCAGGAAGGATAAAAAGGAACAATCAGTTGTTCAGAGAAGTAATTTGGAACAGTCCAAGCTACCACATAGAAAAAAGCAAGTAGTTTCCTGCAGAAATATGACTGCAGACTGACCTGCTCACGGCAGAGCAGATTACAGAACATCATCTTGCATTTATTGTTGCAGAACTATATGAAGTAAAGACTAAATGCAAAAGGTCCTAGTGGACTTTCCAGCAAAATAATGGGAACCTTCCTAGGCCTTTAAGTATGCTTGCACATACTGTTGTTGTCAATGTCCTTCTGACTTGTATCTAGTCCTTGATGAGACTTTTACCGCATTTAAAAAATGTTTCAGAAGTGCACTGTAATGAAATGCTCCCAATGTCTTGAAGGATTAATGTGAATCCCAGCTGTTTGATGAAAAGTCACATCTAACACAATGCAAGTAATTTGGCAGGTGAGAAACACAGCATTTGCATCTATGTCACCACACAGCAAAAATTTACAAAGGTTTTTTTCTAGTCAAGGCATTAATTAAGAACTGTAGTGAAGTATCGTCTTGTAGAAGTAACTTTCAGTCCTAGGTTGTGCTCCTTTATCAGACACTGGCAGTTTCAATAGCAATAGTGACTTGATCCTTCAATAAGCTTTACATGTTAGGATTGATAAAGATATAACACAGTCTGTCCTCGGGGATCTCATTGCTGTATTGTTCATTTGTCTCTTTCTATATTGACTTGTGTGTGTGCCCGTGTAAAGCATTATGTAGGAAAAAAACACATTTCGGTCTTCCTTTTTAAACCAGGTGAAAAGATGTTAATGCAACCTTTTTAAACCTACTCAATCTTTATTTATGATGAGCAGCAGAAGACATCAAGGCCAAGTCAGACTGAGTTCATATTAGTGACTTAGTTCATTCCTGTTTTATTTGTTTCAGCAAACTGTACAACAACCTGTTTCAATGGAGGAACGTGTTTCTACCTGGGAAAATGCATTTGTCCTTCGGGCTATGAAGGAGACCAATGTGAAATTAGTGAGTAGCATCTCTGTGTGCTTGCTTTCGCTTACATCAACTTATTCTAGTGCTGGTGTCTGAATGATGAAGTGCTACCTGCTTCTGCTGGGCTCGCAGCAAGGGTCTCGCATGGCAGATTGGGGCCCTTGGAGAGTCAGATGCCGCATGCCTTCAAATGAGTTTCCTACTGACAAGTTTGACTCATTGCTAGACCATCTCATCCCCGACCTTGTTTTGTTTTTACTAGTAACTGGGCTTGGTAACAACCCTCAAGCCGTAAGTATGCAAGTAATACTCTGTGGCAGACAGATGTGCTGCTGTGCCAAGGCCGTGTGGAGCAGCTATTTTCAAAAGTTACAGCAATTTGTACTTGTGCACAGCAGATTAGGTTTGAGCCCGCACGTCTGAAAGGGCTACTATAAGCTGGGAACAGAAGGGTTTGGGGTAAAGGGAGGACTGAACCGTAAGAGCTGAGAGCTTCCACTTAACGTATTAAGTTGCATTCACATGGCAACTTGAAAATCCGTGTCACAAACATCAAAAGACTTGCTATTTTCAGAAGTTTAGCATCAAAGCAATTCAAAATATTTTAGCTCATGGTTGATCTAAGTGTGCTGTGTAAAGCTGGGGGTGGAGATACGGCCAAGCTGGAACAGACCTGGGAGGTCAGCTGTCGAGTATTTGATCTCACTAAAAGAAGAGTTTTCTCATAGCTCGGTTAAATTGGATTAATTCTATAGTTCCCCACACTTGAACAGAGTATGAGCATTTTGGTTTTGAGAACGTACACCTGGGTCATTCTTTCTGGACTTAAAGCTTCTAACAGGATGCTGTGCGAGGAACTTCCCCTGCTGTAAATAATCTCACTGACGTTCCCCAGGGCCTTCACAGGAGCACGGAGAGCAGCATTTGGCCTGGGAGAGCCCGTAAGAGTTGATTTCTTAATATGCATCAGTAGAGACAGGCTCTTCTCACAGTTATGAAATTTGTATCATCAAATAATTTGGAAACACATGGAAATAAACTCTAATGCCAATACAAGACAATAAATGAACTATTGTGCAAAGAAAGAACACAGATACTGTAAGACCTACATGTTGCACAGTATTTACATGTGGATAAACAGTAGCCTTATGTAAATGTTTCACCATATATCTATATATTACAAGGCATTTTGAACTCCTTTTTACCTAATCAAAACTGGAGCCAAACGGAAGCAGTAAAGCTTTATTGTTATTAAATTAATAAAGATTGCCCTTTGATATAAATTCAGATCAGATGTCAGCAAGAACAACAGTGTGGGTTTCCACTGACTTTACCTTTGCTTATATCAAGTTCAAATTTGACACTGACAGAACCTCATTTCTTTCTTCAGTCCCCAAGAAGTCAACTGCTGATACTTCTGAGACAATGAGTAAGGTTTGGTTCAAAGTTTGAGACACATGTATTTTATGTCAGTGGTGGTTTTTGAGGAAAATTCTTAGAACTGATATTACAGCACGTCTAATTAAGGGTGCTTCACTTAATTGGTCTGTCCCAGGGGCTCTTAAGCTCATTGTTGTCTACTGCTACTTGGGATAGGTACCACTGACTTCGGCTTCTTGCAAAGGCTTATCTGTGCAACTCAAATTAAATTAATTAAAATACAGGCAGTAAAGTAGTTTTTGTACAAAAGAAAGAAAAAAAATCAGGATCAGAGTATGCTAAGAGCTAAACTGGGATCATGTTGATGAGAGCAAGGAAAGCTATGCACTTGCCTTGGCTTTTGTAAAGCTGGGACAATTGTTAGACCATGATTGATGGCTGCTACCACCTCTGGGCACTGCACCAGTGCCAGCACAACAGTGGAAGACTGCAAGAATTGCTAGACAAGGCTTAGAAACACCAGAGGAGAAACACAACTCAGTCTCTTTTCTTAGATCCAGGGCCAGCTACATTCAGTCATGGAGGTCTTGAAATAACAAGGGGAGAAAACCTTTCAACAGGCAGAAAGCCATCTTCTGAAAACTGCAAAGTTGTGTGTTTTTTTTTTTAATATTGTTTAAAGATTTTGAGTGCTTGTCTAATTGTTGAATCACTCTCTAAGACTCCTGGGAAATGTACTGGACCCAGTCTACAATACTAACAAGCATTCACAGTCTTCCAGATTTTTTCTAGCTATAGTTATGCATTGTCTCTAATTAGTGTTTCAGTTTGAGTCCAGAGAGTTTTATTTTGTTTTGGATTCCTCCCCCATTTGTCACCAACTGTTTTGTTGCTTTTTCCATTTCTGAGTCAATAACAGAGAGAGTTATTACTTTTTCCTTCATTCTGTGAAAATATCTTAGTCCAAAGTTAATTGAGCTGTGCTGAGCCAAATATTTGCCTAATACAACTCTGTGGAAGTTGGTATCACACCCCTTGCACCCATATTCTCCAGATTTACTTCAAGAACTAGGAGAATCCCTGGGTTTCCTTAGCATTGCTCCTTAAGGTCATTAATTACTTTGGATCCAAATGCTTGCAAATTAGAATACCTACAGGTTCCCTCTCCAGAGGCTTCTGCAGGAAATAGTGCTTCTGCAGAAACTCTCTCCTTAGCATGGTTTGTTCCGTCAGCTGGTTATGAAGCTTTTTTCAGGGCTATTAAAATAATTATGCACATTAGGAACAAATGTTTCTTTTTTATTGATGATACACACATGCATTGCAGAAGTCTGATGGGGTTGAGAGCTGAGCAAGCGCTACCTGGGGTATTGAGCTCCCAAGAGGGCAAGGCTGTGATCATGAGATGAGTGCATTTGCTGAGGTTTTCAGCACAGCAAGCCAGCAGTGGAAAGGACGAGTGCTGATGCTTAAATTACCATGTGCAGGTCTCAGTTAAGATCCTTTCTGAAAAAAAAAAGGAAAGGAAAGGAAGCAGTTTCCTGCCCCAGATTCCAGTTTTTGTTTGCTCACAGATTCAGGTAAATATTAGTGCTAAATCTAGGAAGGGCTTTTTTTTCTCTCTCCTGAAGAATCCAGAAAATGTTACGGGATTAGAAAAGATGAAAAAAGGTTTTGTATGACAGTGAGAAAAGCTGCACTGGCACATATGGCCACCAAGGAGGCAAGAGGTTGAGGGTGTAGCTCCTGATGGCCCGAGAGTGTCCAGGGACGTGGCAGTGAGCCTCCCTTGGCCTTGGGGTGACCTAGCTCATGGGCGCTGTGCTCACCCTTCCTAGACACGAGTGAAGATTTATTTAGTTCAATAATGCAGAAAAATTCTAACAAGGGATTGACAGTCTGGTGATGGGAAACTTGATGTTAAGTTTGAGGAAGGCCCTTGGTGTGAGTCAGGCCCAGCAGGAACTTGAGTGTGGATCTCCTCCACCAATGTGGACCTCCTCCCTCCCAGGCGAGTCAGGGCCAAACAGCGCCATCAGACCCAGCCTCTTCCTCTGGCAAAGTGTGAATGTGAGGGAAAGTAATTTCCAGACCAAAAGCCTTGAAAAATGTCTGCCAGTTCTAATTACCGTTACCAAAGATGCTTTGTTCTTTGCAAATGGGAAAGAAGGGCATGCTTTTTTAATGCGCCTTTAGTTTCTGAGCTGTGGTGTGGAACAGTCCTCTTTGCACCATCAACAGCATCGTGGTGCTCCACAGCCACGAGCTGACAGGCCCAGCCAATCTATTTATTGTCTGCAAGTAGCGGCCGTACCTGTCAGTTCCTGAGCGTCCTAGTGCTTAAAATTTCTCTTGGACGCCACCAGATTTTCTTCTGCTTGTACCCCCTGGCTATGGATCCCACTCTTTGCAATCACGAAGTCTGGACACTGCTGCCTCCCCCACAAAGAGTGAGGAGAGCAGGAGGCAATACTGACTGGTCGCATGGGGGACTCTGCGGAGTCCAAGTGGCACAAGTCTGGGCAAAAGCTGTATGGACACACGGGCTTTGGCCATGCCAAATTATTGTCATATTTTCAAAGCAGAAGAATGCATATAAATGGGAAGCACAGACTTGCAGCAGAGGCTTCTTGACAGATCCACATTGCACACTCCTACACCAGCATCCGATGAGTTTTTTGGGTACAAGGCAGGCTTCTCAGACACTTGTCTCCAGTAGGTGCAGGGGACTAAGACCATTGCTTTTGTGCTTTGATTTCTAGGTAAATGCCATCAGCCCTGTCGAAATGGAGGCAAATGTACTGGTAAGAATAAATGCAAGTGCTCCAAAGGCTACCAGGGAGACCTGTGTTCAAAGCGTAAGTACCAAAGCCACGCCATCAGTCCTTGTAGGAGCATCAAGCTGGCTGTACAGTATCTTTTTACACAATGTCAGCATTAATTGTTTGTTCTCAAAGTACTTCAGGTTAATTTACTTCCTGGACATACAGCGTACACCAGATTTAAGGGAATTATGAAACCAGAAACATTTTTTACAAAAGCCTCCCCACAGTTTCTTCTGTACTCTGAGTTTCTGTAAGAGAGTGATGTTTCAGCTTAGTAATAGCGGTTAAGTAATAGGGAAATGCTTAATAAAACGTCAATACATTGCAACATTAAAATCAAACGGGAGCACTTCGTGAGAGGGATGCTGGGGGCTACCCTCTTCTCCCGCTGGTTCTGGTGTATGCTCAGCTCTGCTGTTCCATCTGCTTCTCTCTGCCAGAGACTGAGCCAGACCTTGCAGGGGAATGGGGGGTGAAATGTTTCGGGGCTCTGCACACACTCAGTGCAAAGTCACAGATTTACTGTGAGAGCCCCAGCCTGTGCCAGGACCAACCCATCACGAGGAACAACAGCAGGGAAAGCAAATATGCAACTCCGTCTCTGGATGAAATGTCAAGAGTTCAGGCGTACGCGCTCACTTTCTTACAGCTGTCTGCGAACCCGGCTGTGGCCTGTATGGCACCTGTGCTGAGCCCAACAAGTGCCAGTGCAAAGAAGGCTGGCACGGGAGACACTGCAATAAAAGTAAGTGAGAAACAAACCCCAAGAGTCCGTATCAGACATCTTACACATCCGATGCCGTACAGAAATGACTGCTCCAAGAGCTTTTCAAGCCTCATTAATGATACCACACTCCATTTTTTTCAAATATTTAATCCAAAGAATAAAACAAAGATTTTCAATACTCTGTAATTTTAACTACTTAAAAAACCCTCAGAATTGTTTAAAAGTGTTTTACCAAGATCACCCTTGTATTAGAAATTCCAGAGTCTGGTATCAACCAGATTTCTAGATGCCCTCATGTGTCTTCCACCCATGGTATGGAAGGTATCTAAAGTCCTTCAGTACTCCTCAGTAATGTCAGCTGGCTTTAAAATGTTGGGTAGGCATTTTTAGAAATAAAACTATGTCAGCTTTTAAAGATGATTAAAACTTAGAAAAAATGAAGTGTCCTTTAGAAACTTTGGGGAAAACTTGAAGAGTTATGCAAGATCTATGCTTACCCTTACCGACTTTCAAGTTTTCTCCTCCTCTCCCCCACCCATGCTCCACAGACCACAAAAGATATTGTCCCAAAGCAAATATAAAGTCCTTAAAATGAATTTCTGTTGTGCTTATTGACCCATTTGACACCCAGTGAGGCAACTGATTGTTTCACTGGATTTAAAATAGCACTATAAAATTATTTGAAATACAATTGGATATATCCAGTAACAACTTCAGATTTAATTTTATATTTCATGTGCAATAGTGCTGTGACAGCAGATCTTCAAGAGACATTCTGTACATTCTCCTATGAGGTATTAATGTTTAGCTGAAACACTGTTAGCTAATGATTCACATTTAATGTTTTAAGTGGCAATGATAAAAAAGTTGAAAGAATTTGCAGCTGAAAAAGCCACCAATTAGCCATAAGAAATGTGAACCTTACATTGCAGCATCAACTGAATGTTCGTTTTTATTAGATGCTGTTGATGCCTGTGATTTGTATCGCATTAAAATATATTACAATAAATATAGTTGTTTCATTAAAAAATGAGTATTATCTAACTAAAATGGATTATGCTGTGAAAATTAGGTTTGGGGAGTCCACTTCTCTGCTGTTAGCTAGTGGACCTGTGTTTAAGTATTTATGAGAAATACCATTAATATAAGTTATGGTTATAAAAAACAGAAATCAATATGAGCTTCATAAGTTCAATATGAACTTTTTCTCCTTGTAATACTCTTCTTATGAAGAACTCAGATAGCAGGTGAAAAAAAAGATGTACTGTGGATGGCCATCCCCAAAGAAGTAATTACCTGTACAACAAAACCAAAACTCGTAACTACCACATTAGGAGGAGTCAATACACATTATTGTCAGCTCCGCGGTTTTCCATCCTTAATTACTTGGAGTTTGGGTACAGTCCTGCTGTGTTTAGCACTGCAAAACTCCCTTTGTATTCAGCAAAGAAACTGAGAATAGGCCATTTGGGTAAAATTCACCCCCATTTTAAGGGCCCATGTAGGGCTTAAATTGCACATACAAGTCTGTATGCACTGCAATTCACTCTTTTCAACTAAAACCAAACATCCCCTGATCTTGAGAGGACATTTATAGTTAATTTGAGAGACTTGCTTCATACTCCATCAAAGCAATGGGTCCTTGGTAAAGCTGTTTTCTTAAAAAGAAGTGGTTGAAAAAATTGAACCTGGGACTCAGTTTTTCAATGTCATTTCCATGAGCTTTAAGTAATGAGATGGGTAAATGAAACTATAAATAATTACAACATAATACTTTGAATTCCATTTTTATTGTTCGTTTTCATTTTCCACAACAAAGCAGCTCCGCTAAGCCTGTTTCAGACTGCTTTTTTTTCCCCCTAGGTGTTTATTGTCACTGCTGTTCTTTCTGTTTGCATTCAGCCGTAAACCAAAGCCAAGCTCAGGTAGCTGGCGCAGATTCTGCCCGGGGGGATGCTTACGCCCCTCTTTAGAGCCCGTTGCCGGCAGATCGGCATGAGTCTCACCCACCCGGCATGGGCTGTGCACACATGAACCCAGGGCTGAGTGACAGCCTGGGCATGCTGATGGTCCCCTGGGCTCCCTGGCAAGGCGAGAGCATCCTTCCATCTGGCAGCACCTTGTCCATCCCCGGGGGCACAGAGGGACGAGTGCTTGCGTAAGGCATAGCAAAATCCTTTGTTCAAACGGGGGAGACTTTTTCCACTTGAAATATTAGCCGTGGATCGCGAGCCCGCTTCTGTGGTTTCTTTTCTCTCGAACTGGATAATTTTCCAGGGTATGGAGCCAGCGGTCTGAGCGCCCTGAGGCCAGCAGGCAGCAAGCACAGGCAGCACACGCCTTTGCCAAAAAGGGCCGAGGAGAGGCACGTTCCACCTGAATCCAATTACATCTGGTGAACTCCAACATCTGAAATGGTTCGTGTTACACAAAGTTCATAGCCTTCATTAACCTCTCATGGATTGAATGTTAAAACGCTGTTCATTACAGTTAAGATTACCGGCTGGAATTTTATTAGTTTCATTATAAACCACTGAGCTGATATTTACTACTCCTTTTAAGTTTTATAAATACTTCTATAGCATGATTATATAGGCTTCTTCTTTCAGTGCTTTGGATGGTGTTTTGTACTATATTTCAATTATGTTTAAACTTCCTTTTTTGATTCTATAGCTGCAAATATTTTCCAAAAATTAAGTAACAATATTCAAGCAGAAAACCTCATAGATGCTAACTTGAATCATTTCAATGACTACAGATTTAATTTGCCTAAGACAAAGGAAAGATGCATTTTACATTTTTGCTATTGTGTATTTAGACTTTTCCCTGAGAAAAATTAATAAAATAAATTGCCTAATTTAAAAACTGAGTAACTCAATTCAATGTTATTTTTGGCCTTACAGTTTTGCAAAGTACTGTGTATTAAAAATACACTGCCGTGGTGCCATTTAACCAACGTAATATATTGTAAACAAAGTAGAAGTATAATGTATGAACTTTCTGCATCGGCTTGAAGCAATATAATATATTGTAAACAAAACAGCTCTTATGTAATAAACTTTTTATACTGACGGTTATGTATAAAATAAAGATGCTGCTTTAGTTTTTCCAGTACTGCTCTGTGTGGCCTGCTGCAGTCTCATCAGCGCTGGGTTGGGACGATGGCTTTTCTAGAGCACCCTCATAAAACAGTGGCACAGCGGGGTTGGTTTCCCTGTCTCTGCTTTTAACCCCACAGCTCTTAAAAATATTTCAGCAGAGCAACTTCTTGTGCCTTTGCAAAGGAGGGGATAGCACCGAAGGGCAGGTGTTTCTGTCCCTGTGTTTGCCCTCCACCACGTCCTCCTTTCCGCCCCTGCACTGCCAGCCGGCCATGCCAAGCTGGTGTGCCCTGTTCGTGGCACCTCCGGTACCCGGGATATTCTCCTCAGAGCCTCTGTCCAAGCAGGTCATAGTCCAGCGCTGGCGATGTTTCCTGTTCAAGGGTGATGCTCCCGTGTCACTTTGTGTTCAGGCTGTATAAGGTTTGGGTGCTGCCTCTTGCGACGGTCAAGGGCCACACAGTTTGTAAAGTGCTGTGGCTAGGAAGCAATGAAAATGGTTTGTGTCTGCGTTGAAGAACAATGTCCATTTCAACAAATGATTACTGACCCTTGCTATACTGCAGTTCTGGGAACCTTATTATCTGGGAGATAAATAAAAAAGTATATAAATAACACATAATTTGGGGCATAAAATTAATCTTAATGAGTGAGAAGTTTTGAGTTACAAAGGAAAAAGTCTAGTTTATTAACCTGACCTTGCTGGTCTTATTTAGTCAATGGACCCATAAGGCCAAGTAAAAAGACTTGCTTAGGCCAGAGAGAGGGAGGACATCTCTCTAAGGATCTGTTTTTACATTGTCCTTCGCGTGGTGGGACTGTAGATGCTGCCCAGCAAGCCTGATCCAACAGGAGACCAACCCCTGCCTTGCCACGCATGGCTGCAACCCTCTGGGTCCGGTGCATGAAGAAACGCAGCTGGGGAAGGAGGGGCAGGGCCAGGCCAGCCCCCCCGTTACACCCCCGGGGGGGATGACGAGAAACAGCCCAAACAAGGTGGTTTGGCCGCTTGCCTGATACCCTTCCCTGGGATGGCAGTAAAACAGCTCAGGTTTGCTGAAGAAGGAGCTTTCTTAGCATGGATGTGTGTAACAGCTATGGCTGGGGGGCTCCAAAGTGGTGGTCCCCCAGCCCTCAGTCTCATGCCTCCCATGGGACCTCCAGCACCTCCCCGACCTCCTAGGGGACTGGGGGGAGCCTGGGACACGGGGCCCCCGGGTGGCAACGCAGGGCAGGATATGACCTGCAGCCAGCTTGCCTCTGTGCATGCTGCGTTGCTGCGCTGCAGGGGATTTTGAAGAGCAAACCTCCGTCCCCATAGCAGCCCCCATACTCTTACCTGTGTCTTGGCAACCTGTAGATCTCTGCCCCACACCAAGGCTGTTGTTGATTGTGGTGAAATCAGCTTTCCATTAAAAAGGATAATCGGCTGTATCTACAGGCAAGAAAGCAAAATACTAGCTGCTGGTGTGAGCTGGGCTCTTCCCTTCACTGGGGAAGTGGGCTGTGGGGCGGGAAAGGAGCCCAGCCTCTGCCCTGACTTAGTGCTCTCCCAAAAGCACCCTCTTCAAATCGAAAGAGGATGGGAAACAGGGAGCCTGAGGCACAGGAGAAGACACTTGGGTGCTGAAAACCCAAGGGGAGGAGATGAGGACGGAAATATTTTTGAGATTTTCCTTAAAAGCGATGAAAGAAGGAGATTAATATTAGGCTGAGGTTAAATGTGTAAGTGCTCTGTATCTCCAGGGATGCCCCAGGAGCTGTTTATAAACATGGATGTCACATTTGCTAGCTTTTTGCTCTTTCCGTAACAAAGATTGGCTGAAGCCATTGGTCACACGCCACAGTAAAAAGCACAGAAGTTTCTTACTTAAAATTCCTCAAGCTATTTTGGCTGAACTTTTTCTGCTGCTGTCAATTTCTTAGAAAGTGCTTCCTTAAAAATAACAAGTGCATTCTTTTATATGGAGTAATTTATTTTGCTACTTGTTCCAAAGACACTAAATGCTGCTGCTTGGTTTTCTGAGTTTCACCACTGACTTTGGGAAAGATCATTAATCATGAGTAGAATATAGTTGGAAATTTTACAAAAGGAAAAAAATATTCCTCAAAGTGCACACTGTAACACAATTCTTTTTTTAAAATAACGTCAACTTTCTACACGCAAATTTTCCATCACTTTGCCTTTAATGCCAGCGTGAGCAGAGTTTCCTCCTTGTGTAGAGGCGGTCCCCCATGTCAGAGAAGTTTTAAGTCAAAGTCCGTGATATCTGACTGCTAAAAGAAGACAAATGCCTCAGAAAACATCCATTAGAAAGTTGGAAGTAATTTTGCCATTAAAAAATAAACTACAGGATTTATCACACTCTCTCACTGGACAGGGTGTATGTATGGGAAAAGTGCATGTATGTGCCATAGATGAAAATCAGTTAAAGAAAAATAACAAGTCCAAATACCAATCTATTACAATAGATCAGACAGAAACTGCCTTTTTAACAACGTTTGGGAAAGTTTGCAGTTAACCAGAGAGAGATGCCAAACGTTGCACTCGTGAGCAGCAGCTATGAGATAATCAAAGCTGGTAAAAGAATATAAAATGTTAAATCATTATAGCTCTAGACCCAAAATCCCAATTTAAGCAACTGACAAAATTATAGCTTTATAAAGTGCTTCTAATAGTGCTCGATAATTTGGATATCTAATATTAGCATCCTGCTAAGTCCAGGTGTGCACAACAGTTCAAAGGACTAATACATAAGGCACAGAAAGAAAGCAGAGACAGAAGCCCTGAGGGCAAACTGCCTTTTTTGTACCACTGCCATTAGCGAACCGATGCACATGCTTTTTTTTGGTAATTTACAGTTTAGGTTGGTATCCCCTTAGCTCTGGCTATGCCGCTTGACTTAAAATATATCATTTTTAATGCCTCTTCATTTGACTTTTTGGGAACTGCAGAGAACTTGGGCCTTTTCTTGTTTGTGCTATGCATGCATTAGCAGCATAACTTCATTACCACCTGCAAAGCAAGCTCTGTGGCCGTGCTACTGGGGTAGCAGGGAGCCGGCACCGCTGTGCACGCTGAGCGATGCTCACGGGGTGTCTCTGACCGGGAGGCAGCGCTGGCTGCCGGGACCCGGCACACTTTCGCCATGTGGAGTGAATGCATGGTCCAGTTGGTCTTCTTCCAGTTTCAGCTGCATTTCAAGGAATATTAAGGAAAAAAAAATTATAAAGAAAAAAATTCGAAGCTGTTCCAGATGACTCGCTGCCTGTCAGGTTCAAACTCCAAAAGCCAGGCTCAAAGCTTTGTCCAGACCTAGTGCTATTAGTTCAAACACTGCAGCTTTGTTTCTGCTGGACAGATTTGTTACCTTTCCCTCCCTCTCACTGCTCTATATCACTGCTTCTACTGAGTTTGCCCACTATGGAAAAAATTCCTACTTGCAGATACTAAGGGGAGATCCAGCAGCAGCAGAGTGGGAGCTGCCTGAAGCGGCCTGAAGTTATGCCAAGGTTTCCCCGGTGCCTGCCCTGCCCACGGCACTGCATCAGGTGCTGTCGAGGCATCGCTCGGAGCCACAGCCTCACAGCAGCTCCGGGTCTTGCAGTCATTTCAGCTCAAGTGTAGAGAAACTGCATCAGCCAAAAGTGCTCTCATCCATAACAGGGATTAAATCCTACTAAATCCCACTGGTCTTGCAGTGTGAATATGACTTCACGTTCGGTGAGGTGACACGGTGCTATGATTAGCCAGGCCATACCCAAACCTTAAGATTGTGATTAGACCAGCAACACCCTCTCCAGCTCTAAATTGTGCCAGCAAGATTTGCTCACATGATGCTTTAAATGAAAAAGCAACTAGTTAAAAAAAAATTCTCAACTGAAATGAGTCCAGTTGTTGTTGTTTATTTTTTATTGCAGCTCTCTGATGGGGTGGCTGCTGAGCTACAGGCCAGTAATTCGTGCGTGGCTCCCATCACCCAGCTCCTGCTGGAGCACAGCTAACTGCACACTCCTCGGTGCCTGGCTGGAGGCAGCTGCCCAGCCCAGCTGTGCAAGTTTACCGACACTCAAAAACAATGCAAAGCTGAACTGGGCACAGAACAAATGGGTTAGGAGAATGGCAGGGTTTGCAAAATGCAGATCTGAGCAGATTTATTGCTTACCTCTGTGGCTTTCTAAAGTTTGCAACATTCAGACGATATTAAATTAACTAACACAATTTAAAGTTAGGAAAAAAACCACTCTGTATTTTTGGCTTAGAACAACAAATTCTATTATTTTTACTAGTTACAGAAATTGCATTTTAATCTCTTTCCACATAGCCCATCAGGGGACAGGAACAGCCTTGTTGCACAAATCTTTCCATGGAAATGTGAATTTTTCAGAGGGTTTAGCACACATACCCTGTCTGGCCAAGCCGCAGCTCATAAGCAGTTCAGGTGCTTATGAGGGACATCCTCACAAGTCCTTTCTAACACTTTTTCATGGCGTATGCTTGCAGGATCTTATGGCTGGGGAAGGAGGAGAGGCCAGCCTGTGCTTTAAGCACATACTTTGCAGAAGGGACCTCTCTCCTCCCACCCGGTCTAGAGGGATAAGCTCAAGTGCTAAGCACACTTAGTGACCAGCTGCTTCTGGGCACATGTGCCCCAAAGTGACAGAGAAGCTGTGAAACGTGGTGCTGGCTTCAGTATCTGGCCTTGCTGGTGCTACGTGGGGACAGCCTGGGCAGAGGCTCCTCGGTGAGGCTGCCCGCAGCTGGCAGTGAATGGGGTCCCACAGTATCCAAAAAGAGAAACCAAAGAGAAACACCTCTTCAAAAGCTTGCTTTTCTTTAGAACCGTTTAAATATTTGTCAGGGTGTCTAAATCAAAAGCCTAAATGTCCCAGGAGAAGGAAAAAGGTCTGTGCTCAAGACCAGCAGTGCTTGCAAAACATGTTTCGGATATATGGAGTCCAAGTAGATTTTATTGGGCGAACGAGGTGTCAGCTTGAACTTGCAGT